ACACTCCATTTCCCTGCGCCCTCTATCTACTTCCCGTATCGCCGTGTAGACAGAATTCTCTGGAACCGTACTGACGTCTACATAGCATACGGTATGGGTATCGACATCGGTACATTTCTTGCAGTATACGGCACCGCATTTGATGGCGACTCTATCTCAACGGACCCCGGTTTTTCCATCGGAGGACCGGCTACTAGCGAAGAAATCCTGGGAGTCGGTCTCCTCGGAACTCCATCTGGCTTGAGTGACTCTCACAACAATTACGAAGCAGATACCTCTCCAACACGTGGGGACTTGTATGTCGTGTAAGTGTCTCTCTTAAACTTCTTGGCACCACCATTGTACATATCGAAGCTTTTCAGGATTCTAATATCCTCTAGCGGAAATGACTACCTCCTCCAAGTCGACCGATTCCAAGAATACTACGATGCTCTCCCGGAAAACACGGCAAGCCTCACCCCAACATCTAGCTATCCAGATGCCCCCCATAGCTAACACGGACTAAGCCCGCCCCGGACCAATACGCAGCTCTCTTTCCCTTCCGCCAAGCACAATTCAACAACTCCGTCGCCACAAACCCCGACTTCTTCTTCCCCCAATTCGCCGGGGTATTCGTCTCCCCGGCCGGCTACGCCTTCCCGCCCCGCATGATGGCCAACCATTCAGCCGAGTATCCATCAGGCTACCTCGACAAGGCGAGCTTCATGACATTCTTCGCCGTCACTGGCGAAAGTGGAGCATTTGAATACACCCCGGGCTGGGAACGCATCCCGAACAATTTCTACCGCCGTCCTCTTAGCGATCCATACACTCTCCCTGAGTAAGGACCCCCCTTCCCCCCCCCCATCATAAACCCAATTTATCCACCTATCTATTCATCCATCTTGCTGCATCGTCTCCAAAGAACCCAACCTGACCCCCCCCCACCAGCTTCATCCTCGACGTCCTCGCCTTCGGCCTCCTCGACCCGCGCCTCCTCTCCATCGGCGGCAACACCGGCACCCCAAACTCCTTCACCGGCCTCGACGTGTCCGACCTGACCGACGGCGTCTTCGACGGCGCCACCCTGGCCCAGGGCAACAACCTCGAATGCTTCATCTTGCAGCTCGTGCAGGCGGAAGCGCCGACGGCGGTCGCGGCGCTGTATGAGGATGTGACGGCGGCGCTGCAGCCGCTGGCGGAGAGCATCTCGGGGAATCTGGCGGGGCTCGGGTGTCCGCAGTTGGGGGCGGTGAATGCGGGTATGTATGATGTTTATCCGGGGTATGCGAAGGCGAATGGGATCTGAAGGAGTGAGATGGGGAGTGGGTGGGTTTGAATTGCGGGCGAATTGTCTTTCTGGAGTACACATCAGACTCAGGCTAAGGGGCAGGTAACATAGCATGTAATATCACTACATACTGGCGTCAAAGTTCAACACTTGTCAAGTAATACTTAAAGGTTACATACTATATATGCTACGCTAAAGTGCAGCTGAAATGATAGCACTGAGCCAGATGTGACTAAAGAAGTTTTGCTTCGCCTTTGGCTCAAATCCCACCCCAAAATTACGAGATCATCTGTACTGACACTGCTGTTCAGCATTGCCAGTGCTAGAGCATCAGCCACTCATCCCAAGAAAAGCCGATACTTAAAACACCAACTCTTCCCTACACACACACACACACACACCTCTCTCTCTCTCTCTCTCTCTCTGTGGCCGCCCCCCTAGACAGCAGAGCGCACCAAGCCAACACTTCCAGAAGCTAATAAAGTCCCCCAACCAGCAATGGAACGTACTGGGTTTTACTGTCGTCACAAGCGGCAAAGGTTTCCATATCAGACTTTCCAGAATAGCGAAATTGGATGCGCACGCCGTACCGGCGGCTCAGTGTTCGCCCACCATTTGGCGTGAAAACTACGAATGTGGGTCGTGTTCCATCTTCACACGTAGTATGTTGAAAGGGTAGGTAGATTGGAGGGGTTATTGGTGCTCATATCCATGTTTCGTAGTTGAGGAGTCCAATGCCGTCAATGGGCGAGGAGCAGGTGGTGTGAGGGCATAGTCGTCATCAGTATTCGACACGCCATTCCTCGGGCCGCTGCAACACGCAGTAGCCGTTCCGTATGTCCATAACCCATCCATCACGTCTCCATGGCCCCATCGTCAGCAATCCCCGCTTCCACCTCGCTCGCCGCACCCTCCAATCTGTTTCTCGCAGCCTTCCTGATGCCCTCCTCCACGCCCCTCAACCGTCTGCTCTCTTCTTCCAGTTCCGCAATCACGTCTTCCTGCTCTTCGATGCCCATTCCTACACCCGGGAGCTCTCGTACTGCAACCCGCGCTTTCTGTATCTTGTTCGTAATTGACGAAGCGGCTGTTGCTAGGTCTTTGGGTGAGACGGGGGTGATTGTGTCTGGTGAAGGTGTGAGACCGTCGGCGGACGGCGGAAGGAGGAGGCGAGAGAGTAGGGAGTGAAGGGGTGGGAGGATGTCGAATAGTTGCGGCGGAGGAAGCGTGTTGGAAGGGGGTGGGGTGGTTGCTGTGGGCATGATGCGGAGCGTAAGGGTCTGTAGTGGTGCTGGTGGTGGTGATGGAAGGTTTCAGCCTTTCGAGATACACCCCGTTTTGTGTGTGATATCTGTGGAAGTAGGTTTCGTACAATTAACGAGGAGCTCTTTGTGCTGTGTGATTTTTCTCTTTTTTTAAAAAAAAACAGCATGATCATTGGGGAACACACTGTTCGGGATTAATGACCACATTAAATACCCTCTATATTCTCTTCCCTTCCAAACCCTCAAATCGGCACTTTCCTTGATAGCTTGCTTGGTGGATGGTTGGATATGAGACCGTGAGCGGACAATTAGCTAAAGGAGTGACGTCTGGAAAATGCCCCTCCGCGCCCCACTAAAGATTTCTTTTTTGTACCCAATACTCGTATCGTCTTTACTCCTCTCCCTGTACCATTGACTCTTGGAAATTACAATCTCTTGTCGGCCTTGTCCAGATCTCGTTCACTAGCGATAAAGATACCTCTGAGTTGCAGCTTTCGGGAGCTACAAAACCCTTCAACATGGTCAAGGTCGAGCAGAAAGCAGTACTGAGTACGATAGCAATCTCAACCCCCAATTGACGGTAGCTGACCTCTCCAGTCGTTATCGATGGCTGGGGCATTCCAAGTGAGACATCACCGAAAGATGGCGACGCAATTGCTGCCGCCAAAACCCCCGTCATGGACGAGTTCTCGAAGACAGGCTCGAAGATTACACAAGGCTACACTGAGCTTGAGGCATCATCACTAGCTGTTGGATTGCCGGAAGGCCTTATGGGCAATAGCGAAGTTGGACATTTGAACATTGGAGCAGGAAGAGTCGTCTGGCAGGATGTTGTCCGAATAGATCAGACGATCAAGAAGGGCGAATTGAAAAAAGTCAAGACGCTCACGGACTGCTTTGAGCGGGCAAAAGACGGCAATGGAAGGTTACATCTGCTGGGTTTGGTCTCGGACGGAGGAGTTCACTCACACATTAAACATCTTTTCGAACTGTTGAAGGTCGCAAAGGAGCTGAAAGTACCTAAGGTTTACATTCACATGTTTGGAGATGGGCGAGATACGGATCCCAAGTCTGGCGCTGGCTATCTGCAAGAGCTGATCGAAAAGACGAAAGAACTGGGAGTGGGCCAGATTGCGACGGTTGTTGGCCGCTACTACATTATGGACCGAGACAAGCGGTGGGATCGAGTGGAAGTAGGTATGGAGGGAGTCGTAACGGGCGAAGGACCAGACGTCACTTCTTCCACCGACCCCGTGGCAACGATTAAGGAGAAATACACCAAAGACGAAAACGACGAATTCCTCAAACCCATTATCGTAGGCGGCAAAGAAGCCCGAATTCAAGACAACGACACCCTCTTCTTCTTCAACTATCGCTCCGACCGCGTCCGCGAAATCACCCAACTCCTCGGCGACATCGACCGCTCGCCCAAACCCGACTTTCCTTACCCAAAGAACATCAGCATAACAACAATGACCCAATATAAGACCGACTTCCCCTTCCCCATCGCCTTCCGCCCCCAACACATGGGCAATGTCCTCGCCGAATATCTTGGCTCCAAATCCATCAAACAATGCCATGTTGCCGAAACCGAGAAATACGCCCACGTCACCTTCTTCTTCAACGGCGGCGTCGAGAAACAATTCCCAGGAGAAGACCGAGACATGGTGCCCTCGCCAAAAGTAGCCACCTACGACAAAGATCCAAAAATGAGCGCCGCGGGTGTCGCCGACCAACTCTGCACCCGCATCAAAGAAGGCAAGTACGAATTCCTCATGAACAATTTCGCCCCACCGGACATGGTCGGGCACACCGGTGTCTACGAAGCCGCGATCAAAGGTGTCGAAGCTACCGATGCGGCCATCGGCCAAGTCTACGAGTGTTGCAAGAAGGAGGGGTATGTGTTGTTTATTACGGCAGATCATGGCAATGCCGAGGAGATGAAGACGGGAGAGGGCAAACCGAAGACGAGCCATACCACTAACAAGGTGCCGTTCATTATGGCGAATGCGCCGGAGGGGTGGAGCTTGAAGAAGACGGAGGGCGTGCTGGGAGATGTGGCGCCGACGCTGTTGGAAGTGATGGGATTGGAGAAGCCGGAGGAGATGGGAGGAAGTAGTTTGCTTGTTAAGTGATGAGATGCGATGAGGAATTCGGGATGGACATGAAATGATGAAGGTGATGGGAAATGATAGCTGCGTGTTTGGCATGAACATAGATATATCTATTGAGAGGCACACCGTCTTATAAGCAGATTTTGAATTGTTCGGGGTATCTATCTGCATGCGATTTTTCAGTATAGCTACAAGCTATACCCACCATCTTCCTCCACTTTTCCTCTTAGCTCTCCCCCCAGTGATATCGTCTGGGTAGGACTATTTCTCTCTATTTCTTGATAGAAATGTAAGTCATATTACAGCTAAAGCGTCGAATGCAAAAATGGTATCTTCCTTTTTCCCTGAAAATCATGCGCTGCCACTCTCCATCTTCCGTCTCCTTTTTTCCTCCTTCCTTTTCGCCCTCTCTTCTCTCGTCTCTTTGCGTTGCGACGTTTGGTTCGAATCCAGAGTAGGATTCTGAGACTCGTGCGCGGTTCGTGATTGGTTTTGAGTAGAGCCGTCTTTAGGCGTTGAAATCTGAATCGAAGCGTCGCGCTGTGCATTTTCTATCTCTTGGATCATTTTGTCCTGGCTGTCAGCGACGTCGCGCTGAGACATATATTCTGCAGAATTCAGCGATGCACCCCTAGTCGCCCTCTCCATTTCTTTTCGCCTCCGTCTTTCCTCTCTGCGCTTTGCTTTCTCTTCCTTTGACTCTTTTTGGGGTGAGATGTCGTTTATGCTTGTTTTGCCTTCTACAGCATTCGCGATGGCCGGGGCGCCCTCTACTACTTCGCCTGGCTGAATTGTTTCAGCTGCTTGTATCACGTCAAGGGGCAGAGCAGTTGCAGGCTTTGGGGGGAATTCTTGTTGCTCGAGTTTCTTCTTTTCTCTTCGCCTTCTCCGTTCATTCTTCGTCTCCGTGCCGTTGGGCAATTTGCCATTCAATTTGACGCCACTGATTTCTGGTTGCGGGCTTCTAGTTGGACTCTCTGCTCCGTTTGACCCCTTATCTGGAGTGGCGTCGATTTCCATTGTGTCCTTTATGACTCCAGTAGTAATCTGGGGGCTTTGATTTCGCTTCTTTGGTTCCACAGCAGAGAACGTGTTGCTGCTACCGTCGTTAGATTCGGGCCGCTTCCTCTTCTTTCCAGGCGAGCTTTCATTCAATGGAGCAGGGGTGCGGAACTCCGGCGCTTTCAGCATAGGCTCGAATGTAGATTCCATGTCGGAGTCATCAGAGACGCCAAATGGACGGTACCGTATTCTCAAGCCTTCTGGCTGTTGGCGTGGCGTCTTTCTGTAAGATTCCGACGCTGATGCCGAGCGATCTTGGTGGACTGTCGATCCCAGTGCATGACTTGGGAGGCTCACAAGTTGCTGCAAATGCAGTGTTTTAATGACAGTAGTCTTTGAGGGTCGGTAATCATTCGTCTGGGTGGAAGGCAAGAGCAACGCTCGGCTGCTGGCTTGTTCGGCGTCCGATTCTGGGATCAGCCCATACTTTGCGCCGTGGTACTCTAGTACACAAGCACCGTTTCCGATGTTCTTTGTCGAGACTTCTTTGACTAAAGAAATCGGAACCGATTCTGGGGCGGTGATGTGCCATATCTGCTTTCCTTGTAAATTTGATGGTGCAAGTATCTCCGAGAGTTTGGACGCTGCATGAAATGATATCGAGGTAGACTCAAAGCCAGCAGGTGGCTCATAAATTGGTATGGTTTGCTGAGGTATGCTTTTTTGAACAGGACTTTTCTTTCTAGGACTCTGTACAGAGGTCTTGTCACTGCTTCCAGACTCGCTTTCGCTACCGCTTTCGCTCACACTGCTACTATCTGCGCTGCTTCCTCCGGCCTCACTCTTTGACTCATTTCCCGTAGCGCCCAATTCACGATCTTTCTTTTGATCCAATGGCTTGACACTAGTGAAGGCTTTGCTGGAAGGCTTTGCAAAGACAGGGCGAGCCATGGCCGGTTTCGGCTTGGCTGTTGGGCTTCCATTTCGAGCTGCCAAAATGCTTTTCTTGGAGGACTTCTTCTCGTATTGACTACTGCTGTCGTTCCCACTTCCACTACCGCTCGAGTCATCTTTCGCAGGACTCCGGCTTAGTGATTTCCGTTTCTTCGATGGCTTTGCTTGCGAGGTTGAGGGCTTTGGTGCTTCCGGCTTGGTAGAAAGTGAGTTAGATTTGGTAGTCTTCGGGGCTGGTCTATTCACTCTTGCGGTCTCCGTATCTCCAGAGTCCTCTGAGTCCACAACGAATTCAGAACTCAGTGAGGGTTTGGTTGCTGTTGGGGGCTTCGCTGCTTTTGATTTCGGCTTCTTTGCTGGCAATGAGAAAGACTGTTTTGGACCTGCCATATCGCTCGAGGCCTGCGAGCTCTATTGTTGTCGGTACAACATTGTTGACGTTCAGACCTAGAGGTGAACTTGTGGGTCGAAACTTTCTCGGATTCTCGTAGGGCTGTTATCGCGATAAGTCTTAGCGCGCCAAGCCTGCCGCGTACTTTAGCTCCCGTGGTTGAGTGGCAATTAGCACCACCCTAGTTCCAGGGCCAGCAACGCCATGCCAAAATAGCAAAAACCACAACAACCCACACCAATATTCTTAACTTTACAACCGGTGGACTAGATACAAATTCATAGTATTAAAGTCCACTCTTCTCGAGTTTGCTCTACAAATTCGTCACCAAAAAGTTCCTCGTAATTTATACCATCGTTTGAGGTATCTCGCACTGAATTACACACTCATTGAATTTGATTTTTGGCATGGCGAGGCAGCTAACGTTCCGAGAGCTCCAATATTCACCAGACGAGTTTTTCGCCTCTGTTGTTCATCGGCCTACAACGTACAGACACAATTGGATTCGATCAGTCTACTCTTCACGGCCGTAGATGTGCTACCAACGAAAGTAGCATATCGAATACGAGAGAATTGCGTCCACACGTGTTGGACCTGTAACAGAACAGAATCAAGCTTCATTGCTGATATGCGTCTGTATTTCATAGCGCAGCTGCAAGGGGATGAGGCTCGTGATGTTGAAAGATCTGATCCTGCGCCGTGCTGGGAAGAGCACCAGTTTGCAGTTATTCGGCACAGCCACGAATCCTACAGCGCACGTTTTATATCAAAAGCTTATCTTTCTCGCTTATGGTTCCCCCGGAAACACCCAGGCTCAATCCCGTGCTCTCACGAGGCCTGGTTCGCGCGGTCATGCAGAAAGCGGGGATCGAAACACGGCATGAGACGGTCTTTGTCAAAAGGTGCCTCTGGGCTGGGACGCCGATGGTGAGGGTCAGGAGTGATGAGAAATCAATTCTATGGCAATGAGTCTTTTTGCTTTGCACCAAAGGAATACAGTAATCGGTGGGACGGGAGTGACTAGAAGGAGAAGGAGAGCATGGACAGGACATACTAGTGCGTAGGGGAGGTTAGAGTTTCTTTGTGGGGGGTGAAACCCCCCCCCCTGGGGGAAAAAAAAATTGGGGGCCCAAAAAAAAAAAAAAAAAACCCCAAAAAAAAAAAAAAAAAAAACAAAAAAAAAAAAAAAACCCCCCCCCCCCCCCAAAAAAAAAAAAAAAAAAAATTTCCTTCCCCCCCCCCCCCCCATTTTTTTTTTTTCCCCCCCCCCCCCCCAAAAATGCCATGCTCCACAGTGTTCAACGAAAACTAGTCGCTTAAATATATTCCCTACTTCGGTGGCCAAGGACAAGCCGGACACTGCCACATCCTCACCCGATTCTCCTCCGCTATTCTCTCCTTGTCGGCAGTATCTTCGACACCTCGGTATCGGATTAGGTAGAGCTCTTCGCGGGTTTGGGGGAGCCAACTGGGGGCGAAGGTGTGAGGGAAAGTGCGTCTATACAAGTATTAATACCAGACCTACAGCGATCGACCAAACGTATCGGACTTGGAAAGCCTAAGGGATACCTTCTTTTTTGGTTGCGCGGCTGTCCGCTGTGACTGTGATCACGAAGGCCGCGATGGCGGTGGTCAGGAGGGAGGGGTAAGAGCTGCAGGTCATTAAGCCTAAAGGTACCACCTACTGAGGGGCGCACTCAGCCTCAAGGCGTTGCAAATCAAAGATAGGTGGCTCTTGGATATAACAACCTTGATGTCTTAATATGATCTTTCCTGTCTCGCTCAAACCCAGTGCTTTCTTTATTAAATTGCAATATGACTCTGAACTCCTGTTGCGGCTAATTTTGACAGTCGACTGAAGCGTTGATTGTGCAGTCAGCCTTGTATGGCGTACACGCAGGATGCATCCGGGTCCGCCTCGACTCCTGGAACATTCGCGCGTGAGATTAGGAAAGAAGTGTTCGCCGAAATCTACATTGGACTCGAGAGACCGCAACCCGATGTTGTTGTTGTTGTTGTGCATGGCCTGCATGGCCACCCTGTGAAGACCTGGACTTCCAAGTCGAATACAACAGACCATGCAAGCGCAACCTCCAAGAAACTTCTTGGCTTTCCTCGCAAGCCCAAGCAAAACAGTGCCAGCGCCCCTGAACCCACATCTGGATTGCAAAAAACAGGACGTTTCGAGAATGAAACGTACTGGCCAAGGGATTTGCTACCAGGAAACCACGTCGACATGTGCCGATTCGAGGGTCCTGACGACGAGGGGTATCGCCAGTTTAAGGGGGAACTCAAAAGACATATCACACGCGTGGGCGGACACAAAGCGCAGGAGCTGGAAAGCATGTAACCAATGATTACGTAGTTTGGAGATTCGAGCTCATGCTGATACGCGAAATAAAGATGTATACAGAGCCTCTAAATCTCTGACCTGCCATCCGTGCAGAGCAAATTGATCTGGCAGATGTTGGGACTTTGAAGTGGCTGTACGTTCAAGATGACCGTGGCCAAGGCTTAAGGACAACCGAGATTTCCCTTAGATCCAAGGTAAGCCAGCTTCCGGTAAATCATATGTGATGCAACACCTTGTCACCAACCAGGAAAGAGGGAAGCTTCTCGCAAGTCGAATGATAGTGCGTCTTTAATTCACCAATTGGCGGGAAAATAGAAAGATCTTAGATCGGGATGTTACGTTACATGCTTTACCAATTACTCAGCGAAATTTCTGACTTGCTATCTTTCATTGTCACTTTTTGCTCGCTACTGAGGGACTCGATCATGGCCTCCAAATTCACGTGGACTGTAACCAGACTGGAAGCAGCACTACTAGGATGCAAATCTCACCGAGGAGCAGGCTTTCGTAATTGCTTCTTTATCGACGCCCTTGATGAGCACGAAGGTGATCGCAAAGAGATGGGGGAGTTTTTGAGAAAGCTTGCGAGTTCTGACCTTGATTCTTCCGACGCCTCGATAAAGGTTTGCGTGGCAAATCGACCCCTTAACTAACTTAGAGACCTCTTCGACGACTGTCCTGGCTTCAGAGTGCAAGACTGGACAGTCAGGGACATTAATCGAATCATCTCAGAAGGACTCAAAAATCACCCAAGGATGCGTATCCTACTCAAAAACGAAGCACATGTCCAGGCTATCAACCTTTCGAGAAGGAAAATTAACATAGGGCAGACGGCGTGTTTTTGTGGGTTAGACTAGTAGTCGACGATCTATCGACAGGCCTCACCAACGGCGAGTCAATTGAAGCGCTTGAGTCTCACCTTAGCGAACTTCCTGATGACTTGAACGATTTCCATCGACACATGCTTTCTAAGATCGACCGCCGATATTTCCGTGAAACTTTTATATTGTTAGAAGCTGTCCTGCGGGCTCGAAGTCCCCTCACCGTCTTACAGCTGGCACTGATCCTATACTCCAATGCCGCGACGTGTCCAGAGACTATACCATTTACAAATTAGTCGAGTACACAATAATGCCGCTATAACGCTGACTCCTTGTCTAGATACCAGCATCGACTTGGGAAGACAAATTCGCGCTTACAGCGGCGGCGTTCTGGAGCTGAAAAGCCGAAACCCCCTCCGGCTACGGGCCATCTCAGAACCACGCTCGTCAAGATCTAGCCTATCAAGTCGAAACAGCGAGTCTCATTCCGTCACAGATTCTATGGATGATTCGGTTGGTGTAGCAAATACAGAATCCAGTATGAGCATCGGAAAATGGACGGTTCCACCCTTACATCAAATAGTTCGAGAATTCCCTCGGCAGCCCGAAGATCTGACCATCATCATCACAGCACAGATTTCTTCGAAAGAGACGGTGGGAACCGTGTGGATATGGACATTTATACATTTTGAAAGCGTGCCAAACTTGGCTCAGGCTATCAAATACTCAGGATGCACCAATACGAATGTCCTCAGATGAAGATATCGTGATGGATGTCGCTTATCACAGTCTCTGGGTCGAACAAATGGCAAAAGGGAAGCGTCCTTACCCATGGTCTGAAATGCAGTCTAATCAACTGTTGGACGATGTTGATGTCCATTTATGTGCCAACAATCATCACAAAGACTGCTGGCCGTACCAGTGGGCAACTACTGTGCACTCTGTCTTAATCCAAAAGCAATTGCGGTTCAACTTTGTTGCTTTGCTGTTTTGTCCAACATGCCTCTCCTGGTTGGAAGAAGAATTAGGCAGGGTGCTGTGAATGTCAACAGGGATTACGGTCTGCCGCTCCTGTTTTTCTCTGTGATCTGTTTTGACGGTGGCAATAGAAGGACACTCCGACCAGCCGTGACGAAGCTTTTGCTTGACCATGACGCAGATGCAAGGCAAACGTGTCCGAATCTTGAAGGATTCAAGAAAATAGATGCGCTCGCTTTTCTTGTCTATAATTGCAGGGAGTACAAAGGTGAGCTCGACGCTGATGACGTAGAGCAAATTGTCGACATGCTTTTGCAGAAAGGCGCAAATCCAAATGGCAAGCTGGGGAACAAGCTGCATTACAAATTGCAATGGGCCGAGCCTCGTTCGGAGGAGCCATTGCTTTTTGCGATTGCAAAACTTGGTTTGCCCCGTTACAACTTATTTCTCATCCTGAAAGCGTTGATCACACGCGGGGCCAATCCAAACGCTCGAGACCCGCAGGGGAATACGCTTCTTGCAATCCTTTTCACCCACGGCGTGGCTGTGCACATTGATGACTGGCTTTGGCTTCTGGACCATGGCGCCAAAATATCCGAGTCTATGGTTGGAAGATCATACAATGATCCTGGATGCGAACATGCCCTTCAAGATCCTGCGTGCAAAAAACTGCACTACTGCGATTGGAGGGCCAGAAATGCGGCCTGGGAGCGTAATCCATCCTGGAGTTATTGGAGCACAGCAGTTGGTCGTCTCGAGCGCTGGCTTCTTGGACCATGAAAGCTTAACGCGGGCGGAAAGCCTTCATCAGTGTTTGACCATTCTGAAACCTCGCTCCAAGGTGATGACTAGGGAAGGCGTCGCGCTTGTATTATGCATGTTGACACAAGTCAATCATACTGGGCTTGAAGCCGCAATGCAATGCACTTCTTGAAATATGTCTTCGCATAGCGTCACCGCCGATTTTCGATGAAGTCCTTGCTTTTCTGACACCGGACCAATGGTTAAGCCTCTTGGCGCAGTGGGCGTGGCCTTCATTCTGATCTACGGAGGCTAGTATACTTAACCTGGTTGCGCACTATCGAATCATTTACGATTCGGGTAATGCATTCAAGCTATCGGCGTGGGTGGAATTGAGGGTAAGTAAGACGTCAGTAATCACAAAGACCATGACCTGTATCTAACCGTCACTGCCTCGATACCACTTGCCACGGCGGCATTCTCATCGACTTTGAATCCGACATCAAACACACATACTGGGAACTCCATCCCAGCTTCAGCTCCATTCGCATCTACCAGCCACTCAACTTTGGCTGAGCAAACCCCATCCATCATACCCAGCAAATTTGCCTCCGCAAAGCCAGCCATTGTATCAACTCGTGGCTGCGCTCAGAAGGTAACTTGTTACGATGTGCAAAAACAAAACGTTTTCATGATACTGGCCCTCCGTGACGTCGATGGAGAAACATGGACGCCATAGATATACACCTTAGAACCCAGTCAGGATACGCACATTGTGTCTTGATAACGGCGACCCACTGGGTGGTACTCTACCTATCATGATCTTGTATGCAAGCCCGATGGCGCAAAAACATGGCAGGCCCAAAGCTTAGCCTTAGAGGAGGTGTATGAGCATCGTTCTATCATGACTATGGTACCCACTGACATTTCAAACGATCTCACAAACCCTGGTATCCTCCATATGAGCTTGTGTGTCCTGCTCTCCGACTCCCCCATGACCCAGAGCACGCCCGTCTGCAGCATGTCAGCGCGCGGCTCTCTGTTCTCGCATAACGCATCTCCAAGAAGAGGCTATGGGCGCATGTTTGTATTGCATCGCGCGTAGACGAAGGTGTATGTATTGTCTGCCTCACCAAGGACTTGAGGAAACTTGGAAATTTCCCCAAATGCGTCTTGGAACTGTATGCACTTATCCCAAATATGTCTCCCGAACGATCAAAGGTCCCCCAAGGTCAGGATACCCAGCATCCTCCATCTTCGTCCGCTCTTCCAAATACTCCTGCTCATTTCAGTTCACTCGGCTGTCTCACTACCGCCTATCCAGTTCCTCATTAAACAGCTCCCATTTCCTTTAAAAGCATTTACCATATTGTTTAACTCCTCAGCTCTCGGCGCACCCCTCGCCCAATGTAACGGTGCAAGATTCGGATCCCCTTTGGATATTCAAAGCTGCCGCAAAAGTCATCGAAACCATTGATTGGAACGACCAACAGGTGAGCTGGTGGTAGTGACGCCGATGTAGGATGCTTAGCTGCGAGGATCTTTCATCTGTTAATGGTAAGTACGTTCATCCACGTGGACGTATTTTCATGAGTACAGTCTTAGTGGATGGAAAATGCATCGTTCAGATCTACCTCCTGCACCATTTGATGTAGCTCACGCGAGCTACACTGAGATTGGACAAGGCGCGCAGGCTGTGCATGATAGATGCACGATGGGTAGACCGTTTAACGGCGGTATTGCGAGTAACATTGGTGAGTGCCAGCGTGAGCGGTGCAAAGAATGAGACTCGGGAGAAGACAAGGCCTCGTTACCGGGTCTATGTATGAATCCTGAGAACCAACTGTGCAGGAGGCGACGACGGTCTCGTGGTCGCACTATCCGCGACCTCTTACTCAAACCTAGAATTTTCTCCCCTCGACGACCCTCGGACAATGCGGTCTTGTCTGAAAAATTTCCGGTGAAATGAAGACGACTCACGAAACGTAAGTCTTCGGGTAAGGGCAGCAGGTCGGTCTTCCACGGATCTGATGTCTTCCAAGCCTAAGACTTCACTCTCTTCTCCCAGTCTCTTCTCAAAACCACGGTAAATGGTAAGAGCTGACAAGCAGACAGATGGGTAGACAATGGTCAGTGTGAGCGGCTTATATATACCTCTGATCACCAGAGAACGACCTCCGATTGCTTTTGGTGGTATCAGATTTGAGGAAGTTATGGCGTTCATGTATATTTGTATAGCTGCCGGGCAAGGGTGACACTCTGAAGGTAACGGTGAGTTTACTATCTGAGCGGAGATCAAAGAAGCTGATTTTGTAAAGGTGCCGCAGGCGAGATCGAAACAACGAATGTTAGAGGATTTGTTGCGAGGGACATAGGAGCGATATGCTTCCGTTTGGAAGATGCTCTAGAGAGGCCTTGGGCTGAGTTTCTCCTCGCCATCTTGATTAGATCCTTAGGGGATCTAAGGCGTTTAAAAAAATCATTGAGAAAAAAAACCCTTGTGGCAGCGACTGGCCTTTGTTCGTTGCCGATTGGAGACAGATGCAAAAGCCGTGGTTCAAGTTTTCTCCAACCCTATGCCATCAAACAGCGATCCGTTTTGAAATCCAATCTGTTTCCTAGTATTATTTTCAGGGTGTTATCCCATCCACTGGCGCCTTGCGTGTAAAATGTCTTGGCAGAACATCCAAAATGCCATACCTTTGCAACGCATTAACTTTTTAATGATAAGCTTTACAGTAAAATAATCTGCTGTGAAGTTTGATATCTGCTTGAGAAGAACAATTGCGAAACTATAAATTTTTTCGTGGGTGTCCTCGTTGTTGAGTTGCGATAGGTTGTAAGAAGGGACTTTTTGATGTTCGGGCAGAACCCCTGAATTTTACACGCTGCCAGCCGATGGGATAGGATTGAGCTCTTTCGCACCAGTACTCATGACAGCACAGTTGACCATTAAATTCGTCTCCCCCCTCTTCTCCTTCTCCATGTACTAGACGTAACTTCAATCTCTTGATTCGGGTTTGCCATCCACACATGGTAACAGTAATCTATTCCAAAGCAGGGTAGTCCCATCCTGCGCTAGTGATACCTTCGTTAGTTATAAATTGCAAATTAAATAAGAATACTTAGCAAAGCTAACCTAGCTCCACCTCCGACTTTTTATTAGCGCCATTTATAGAAAATTATAAAGAACGTACTTACTACTCTTATATTAATTTACTTTATATTTTTAAAGCTTCTATATAGTCTAAATACGAATATAGTAATATTATAATATCTCGGAATATCGTTAATTCTCGTTAGATAACTAAGATAGCTATTAATAATTAGAGACCCTTTAAATCTTATTATTATCTCTCTTTTAAGCGGGTCTCTTTCGCGGATAAATAGAGTAATATTACTACTATTATAGTTTAATAGAAGAAGAAATAAGAGAAAATTTAAGTTATTTAAATAAAGATTAAAGCTATAATTAATAGAGTAATTTTAAAAAAGTAGAAAGAGGTTATTAAACGTTATAAAAAGAAGAAAACTATATATTATAAAGAGTAGAAGAAGTATATAGCTCGTTTAAAGGTCGAGATAAAGATTTTACGATATAAGAAGAAGCTTAAAAAATAGCGTGCTACTATTATTCGTTATAAATAAGAGATTTATATTATTATTATTTATCGCGAGAAGAAAGAATAGATAGCTATATAAAGAGGTGCTAGAATAATAATTAAAGAGTTTCTAAATAAGATAGAGCTTAGAGAGCTTTATTTATTTTAAACTCTTATAATAATAAAGAGGAATAAGAATATAAGGAATAAACTCTATAAGTACTCTATAAGAATCGTGCTAAGAATATAAAATAGATCGTAAATACTTATTAAGTAATTTAATAAGATTAGAGATCTATATATTAAAGAAAGCTTCGATATCTATATCTTAAATATTAATCTTAATATAGCTATAAAGTAATATAGTATTAATAATTTTAGTAAGATTTAAGAATAGACGAAATTTATTTACTTTAAGAGAACTCGTTAGAACTTTACTTTAGATATTATATCTATTAAATAATAGAAATAATAAGTTAAATTTATTACTATAGTCGAGTAATAGAAGTATCTTAAATATATTCTCGATATAAAGCTTATTTATATTAATCGTATTAGTTTTAGAAGAGGTATTTAAATTATAAATAGACTTATATAATCTTCTTTTTATTATTAAATAAAAACTAATAATCTTAAAGATTAATATACTATTATTCGTAATTAATAGAAGGCTCTTAATAATTATCTAGAGTAATTAATTATTAAATAAAAATATTAGGCCACGAGCTATAAATATAAGAGTATTTATTAAATTAATAAGAATAATAAATATTATAAGATAAACGCTATAATAAGAGAGAGGTAAACTATTACTATTTAAGACGATTAGATTACTTAATATTAACCTTCTCTACTTATATATAAGATTTTTATAAATATAAATTTTAGCGTTAATAGTAATAGTTAGAAAAAGAAGAAGATAACTTTAATAAAGTAAATAAAGACTATAATAGAGTAGTAAATAGAGCTTAATTTATTAAAGAGTATAAAGTTTATAGCGAGTATAGTTAATAAAGAAAATTAGTCGTTATACTCGCAGTAGTTCTATTAGTCTTCTTCTTATTAGCTTTCTTCTTATTAGCCTTCTCCTTCATCTATATATTCTTTTACGCTATCTTAATATCTTAGTAACTATTTATAGTAGTAGTTAATTAATACCCTTTCTCCTCCTCCTTCTTCTTCTTCTCCTTCTCCTCCTTCTATTATTATAGAGGTTTCGCGAATAAAAATATTATCTTTATAATAGTTAAGTTCTATTAATACGCGCACTAAGAAGAAAGATATTATTAAGCGCTTTTAATAGTAAAAGAAGAAGAATATAAATAAAGCGATAAGAAAGCTTTAGATCTATTAGATTTAGGCATTTATTAAGTAATAGATATAGAGTATAAACGATATAAAAGCTCTATCTAACGCGTTTATCGATATCTATAAATA